TCGACCATCAAGATCAAGATCATTGCACCTCCCGAGAGGAAATACTCCGTATGGATCGGTGGCTCCATTCTCGCTTCCCTATCTACCTTCCAACAAATGTGGATTTCGAAACAGGAATACGACGAGTCTGGCCCTGGCATCGTTCACCGCAAATGCTTCTAAAAAAAAATAATTTTATTGTTAATCCGTATCTTCCAAATCCATTTTCATATTTTTTCTTATTTTCCTTTTTTTTCTCTTCTCTTCTTTTCACTTTTTTCTTTTCCTTTTTTTCTTTTTCTTTGTCAATTATGACACATCTATATATTAATAAGCCTCGCCGTGTTCGCTATTTAAGCAGATAGGTTGTACAGGTGAAAAGAGAATACGACGAAGAAAAGAAGAGATCAGAATAAGGAAATATGATAAATTGGCAAAGAGAAAACAATTGATTGCCTTTACTGTACACATTTATCAGACTGTATTTTACTTTGTAGTTTATACAAATACGACTGTTTATTATGAATATTGATTTTTTCATAACACTCGCAATCGTTAAAAAGCGATCCATCTTCATTCTGCCACGAGTAATATATGTTCTTTCGTATGGGCCACTTCGTTTTTATTTTATTTTTCTTTATTATAAACCATGTCTACGTTATAATGCTACATTAAAATGAATAATATTAAAATGTATACCATAATATAGCATAAACAAGAAATTCTTCTGTTTGAAGTAAATTCTAATACTTTGTAATGATTTCAGAATAGATAATTAATTTCATCAATTCTTTTACTTATTGCATAGACCTTTGAACATTAAATGAAAATTAATTAAGTAAATTTTGGAAGCGGTATGTTGCCGTTTGAATACCTACAAACCAATCAATCACTCACCAAAATGTATCATTATAATACATATAATACTCGTCGACTGAATTAATATAACATGTTTAATTAATCACTCGAGTATCGTTATAGAGGTATCTACAAAAGAATATTCTTTTTATATAATTCGTTATCTAAAGTAGGTTTTAGTCTTACGAGTCCATATATGGCGCCTTCCTCATAGATAGCAACATGCTCTGTCACGCGCCTGTGCCAATTCGAATTACGATGTAGTACAGAGCGGTAACATTTGATTCGAAACGTGAGACAAGAATCATTTCATAGATCCCTTTACATATTTAATAAATAAACAAAATATATCTGCTGTCTTTTATTATATTTTTCTTCAAAATGGTTCCCCCCCCACACACACAGATTATTCGTCAATATTTATTGAAATAACGAAATTTACTCTGGTATAATATAATCAGACTACATGATAATACTATTCTTTTACGATATAAAATCAAGGCCCATTTCCAATAATGAAACGGATTGTTTTCTGTGATTGATCGACATATACGTGCGATTTTATTTGCTTAGAGAGTACCGTTATCATATTACGGTAATATAATAATTATACACATGCATGTCGATAATTAATTCATTCACAACTTATAATTTCAAACTTTAAGAATATATATTTTATTTATCTACAAACGAATTCAAATATTGCAATATTTATTTGCATTAGAATTTGTAAACGCTTTTGTTAATCGTCGTTTTTGATTAGTTGGTACGTATACTTTTGCGTAGCAAGAGACTTCTATTGGCTGTTACCACAGTTGTAAGAATTTGCGCGTGCATCTAGTGAGGTTTGTTCGTTGGTTGGGCGTACACGTAGCTTTCTACGTAGATACCAGGTAATTTGTTTATAATTACATATTTTTTTGCTAATATTTATATTATATTTTGTAATTAATAACAAAAGTACTGTCTTTATCGATTCCACATACACGCGCGCGTATATCCACACACCACACAATACACACACACACACACACACACGTTTAAAGAATATGAATTTGTTGGTAATGCCAACGTTACTCTCTGTGCATTCTTATTACAGGTAAGAATATTTAATGTAGTATAGATAATGATGGTGATATCATTGATGACTTCTCCAAATGTGCCCCAGGTCTATGTACATAAGTATTCCTTGAAGAAGAACTATTCTCCTTTTTCTCTATCATTTAATCCTATAAATGAGGGACATACAAATCCATGGGACATGGGTCCTATTAACTGATCTAATACCATAGAAATGAGAATTTTTTCCTTTATAATAAACCAGATGACCAGAGTATACATTTTTTTTTAGACATTAACATATTACAGTCTACATATTATTTTATAAAACTTTAATTTGAAAAATATCTTTTTCCAGTGCATTGAACTAGTACATTAAAAAATGGATGCAACTAAAGCCTCGGAGACAAACGAAGAGTTTAAGGAAATAGAATTTGGTTTTTATTCTCCTGAAGAACAAATGTCTGCATTTCTATACGTTGGAAAAGAACTTGCCATTTATCAGCCAGAAAATTTCATTGCCCATAATTATTTTTTAGCAATTCATCTTGAATGTATAGAGAAATTAGCTGCAGATGAAAAGAAGCCACTATTGCCAGTCGAAATAATTCTAAAAGTAAAAAATTTTTAATTTAAAATCAAACTAACTATGTCATCTATATGAAATTCTTATAATACATAAATATTTCAGGCATTCGAGAGTAATCTTGTTCCGCATTTTGAGACATTGATATTCGCATTGGCGGTATGTTGCAAGCAAGTTTATAGTGAAAGTTTACGTCATGCGGCTTATTCGATAGTAGGCAAGATTTGTTCATTGCCAGAACATTTTATTCTATTTATCAAATTCACATCTGAATTAAGTAAACGCAAAATCTCAATGCTACACCCTGTTAAGCCTAGCCATGGATGGGGTCATGGATTGCGTAAAACTGTTAATAATTGGTATCTTTCCAAGGAACCCTTAGAATTAGCTAAATGTGTAACAAGATGTAAAGGCAGACATGGATGGAAGCACAAGGATATAGTCAAACTCTCTCATCCACATCCTGATACAACAGGTAAACTATTGATAATCCATTAACAAGCAACAGCAAAAAATAGTGATTAATGTTTATTAATTACTTAAATAATTTATTAACATATATACTGTTTAAAATAGAAAAAGAAGTGATACTTAAGTACATAATACATGGTTTGGATAAAACTAAAAAATTCTTTGCCGATAACTCAAATGTACAAGCATTGATTGAATACATCGAAAGGATCGAAAATTTCAAACATTGCAATGATATAGTTCAGGCAGCTGGTCTTTTAGAAAAGTACGAATTAACATTAGACCATGTCCCTGGTCACATGTTGAAATCTACCGAGGTATGAGATCTACAAGTATTCTTATTTCAATTTTCTTATTTTAATAGTTTTTTTTTCCTTTTTAAAGATAAATTATTGTCTTTACAGATTTGGAATTCATTGGTACCGTCAATGGATTTACATACGCTTCTGAGTAATTTGCAAAGAATACACAATTTGGGATTATTGAAAGCAGATGCTCCAATTATTGACAAAATAATAGATGAGATTACTAATAAGGACAGATTAGCTTGCAGCAATATACATCCAATATTTATTTACATAACTTTACAAAATTATCTACACTCCGGAAAGTAAGATATATAGACGTATAGCATCGTGTCTACGCCGTACAACTTATAATGCTATTATTTTATATGTAGATTGATACTAAAACAATACATAGGTTTACACTAGGGTTGACAGTGATGGTTCTAGCCATCACTTTGATCAGCATGTCAAGTTATTAACGAGTAATGTATCTTTCAAAGGCCATTGTCATACGAGAAACGAAAAATGAAAGTACAAGCAAAGAAACCATATCGTCCTTCGCCAAGACCAAACTCTAAGATTATAAGTGCATTACACCAAGCCTTCGATCTTTCAATTATGGTAAGTTTCATAATATTGACTCGGTATATACATATTGTTACGACCCTGTTTTGAGCCGTCCCTGGAAAAAGGACGTGAAGGCCGTTTCCAGGCGACGGGTTGTTGATCGGGAAGATCTTGAGAGGAGCTCGAAAAGAACGGACGTGATATATTACGGAAAATTGTAGATAAACCCTTAACGGTTGTTAGAGTTCTATAAATAAAGTTCTTTGTTAATCTTTTGTAATCTGAGTTTGGGCGGGAGCGTTACTTCTCTGGGAAGCATTTCATTTTTGGGGGCCTTCACGTCCTTTTTCCAGGGACGGCTCAAAACAGGGTCGTAACAATATATAAGGTAAGTATTACGCCCCATTAATTATTTTTCCTGCCAATTTTTATCCACAGAATCTCAAATCTACTGGCTTGCGTTATATGATAACGATTAATGCTAACAAAGTAATGTGGGAGTCTAATACGTGGCACAATGGTATTGTGAATGGGGCAGAAGCTGGTTTCTTACTAGCGTATACGCTTTCTCGATGCGAGAAAGATGTCACTGTTGCTGTATTTGACATCATCGACGTTGATATTGTCAATTTGAATCAGTCATTAGATTTTTTTTCGCTAATTAGTACATATCAGCCTATGTCAAATAAAAATATCCGTTTAAGCACCCCTATTAAATGGGCATCCAAACAAAGTTATCAGTATGATGTGTTTATTAACGTCGTGAACGATATAGTAGACTACAACGAATGCGAAGAGAACTTTGAAGAATATAAAAAAAGAATGAATCTTCCCCACGCAAAGTAAGAATTTAGCTTTTCATTTTATTTATGTGCGTGTATTCAATGTCTATTCCAACAAGGATTAATGTGAAATATTTTTTGTAGATTAATAAATTGCGTTGTCTGTTCTTCAAAAACGTGCAAAGAAGATTTATACAACAGAAACATTTTAACAATTTACGGTTTTGATGTAACCGTGCCTATGGTTATACAAGCTTTTGCAAAGTCACTCTTTTGAAGAAAATCAGCTATAATACAATATGCTGTACTCATGATTTAACTCCATTTTCTCGAGTAAGAAATTTAGCGTTTTTAATTGGATGAAATATTATCATGCAACAATTTTTACAAAGGTAAATCTCTACTAAAATCATCCATTTCTACACGATTTTTCATAACAATCCTACAATAATTTTAACAAATTTTGTATCGCTCATTCGATGAGAATCCCTTTTGAGTGAAGACAAATTTACAAAGAATTATGAAACAATAATGTTTCAATCTTATTAAAGAATGAAATTTCAAGTAGAAAGTCCTGTGACAGGCGATAATAAACGTATTTAACATTAATTATATTGCGTTAACTTTTCTATATCATCTCATTATAAAATATTAATATTAAGTCAATGACGATGTATATTGCATTTTTCTAGCAGCTATAGATCTTATACATAAAGTATAGAATCCAATACGTTTCTTGTTAAAATTTGGAAAGAAATGCAATTCAATTTTAGATGATTTACTTGTTTAAAAAATGGGTACTTGGCAAGTACTTGGTAAAATTATGTAATTCACGTGCTAATCTATGGTGCCTTTTTAACATATTAAAAGAATATAAACAAAATATATTTACTTAAATTTGTTTGCTCGCTTATTTCCACTGGTTGGCGGTAAAGCTTTTTGTAATATCTTCAATTAGATACGTAGATTCAAGATGATAATCGTTAGAATGATATATCTAATGACGACTGGTACGCTTCTAAACATTGGAATAAGCATTAAAATGATATAAAGCATCGAAAATTATTCCACTGTGATATGCATTTAGCTCCAAAGAATTTATAGTTATATTAATATAATTTAACCGTTAGATTTCATATTTGTCATATCCAAAGTAATTACAACTTAAACCCAAAATACTACATTACCGATATAATACTGTGATACGCAAAACATATTGTTCAAACTAGAAAAATGGATAAGCAAATTATCAGAGGCGTACCATGTCTATTAATTTGTTGGGTAGTAATATCTATAAAAATAATTACTCACAATTTTCTTTATAACATAGAATATAATACAATGATATTTTAATTAATCTTTATTTTGATCCTTGAATTACCAATCATAAATAAGAAACACATTTTTGACATTATTAAAAAATACAGTGTGGATGTGTTCTCAGATCCGAAAGAAATTTAAATTAAGTGCCCAAAATATTCAGGCATGACACTTGCATCCCTTGTTGGTAAATCACGAATCAAATGGTTAATTTGTGTTAACAAATCTATTTTAATACGAAAGAAGAATATGTGACATTTTGTCAGTAACAATTGCAAGAAGAGTAATTCAATAATATTTGTACAATTATATTACGGTCAAGAAAAGCTCCAAAATATAAATATATTTTAGGAATATTACATTTAATTTGTGTATGTAACAATATTTATATTTGTTTAAATCATAATACATTAAATGTTATAATTCATCCAAAATGTGGAAAAAAATATACATGCAGTTATTTGAAAGTGTGTGTATACATATATATATATATATATTTGAACTAAATAAATCGATATATTACGAACGTAATCCCTCGTTCATGAATCTTTTATTTTTCATTTTAATTCATTAATAAAATGGGATTAAATAAATGGCATTTAAAGGATATTTATTGAAAAAATGTATTTATTTAGTACATATATGGTATTAATATATGACGCGCTTTCACACTTATACATTATCTGTATTGTACACAGTACTATAGTTTTCCTTGCAGTTTTTTTTTTTATTTCCCTCTCTTTTTTTCTCTTGGATATAACTACAAATTGTAAATATTTTTAAACTCAATCATACTCACATACATCCCATTGCATATTCGAAACACATCAGTATATAAGATTGGCTTATGGATTAGACTTAAGAACAAACATATAAAACAATTAAAATAAACTAACAATACGCAGAGTCTTATCTAAGAACTTTTTAAATAAATTCCCCCCATTAACGAAGTTATATATATACATATATATATATATGTATATATATATATATAAGTTCATTCTTCTTTTGTCTTTCTTCTTTTCAGTAGAGAATATGATGGTGAACGATAGTCGCTCCTTGTAAGAAACATGTATGATAGAGAGTCTATTAACATGCGATCCATGATAAATCACTGTATGTGTGTGTGAGTGTGTATCTATAAAGGATTTTGAAATTTTTATTGTGAGACTCGGTTTCGATATCGATCCACCATGAAGACATTATCATCTGACACATATTAGTAGGTCCTCGATGCATTCCTCGTTTGGGAAGTTGATTATTTCATCAGTCTAATTATGAACAAAGATGCTTCGTGGATTCTTGAAAGGTTATAGTTCATCTTTTAGATCATCATCTTCTTCACCAGCAGTTGGCGGTACACCACCACCCGCACCTTGATACAATTTGGCTATAATCGGTTGAACTATGTCCGATAGTTCTTTCTTCTGTTTCTTGTACTCTTCCGGATCTGTATCCTGATTATCTTCTAACCACTTGATCTTCTCGTCGATTGCTTCCTCCATCTTCGCCTTGTCCGAATCGCTAACTTTAGAGCCAAGTTTTTCCTTGTCGGCTAGTTGATTTTTCAATGAATATGCATATGATTCGAGCTCGTTACGAGCCTCTACTCTTTCCTTTAGTTTCTTATCATCGTCCGCAAACTTTTCAGCATCTTTGATCATTCTTTCGATATCGTCGGGTGTTAGTCTATTTTGATCATTGGTAATAACTATTTTCTCTCGATTTCCAGTGCCTTTGTCCTCCGCGGAAACTTGTAGAATACCATTGGCATCGATTTCAAATGTAACTTCTATTTGAGGTATTCCGCGGGGAGCCGGTGGAATTCCAGTTAAATCGAATTTCCCAAGAAGATGATTGTCTTTAGTCATAGGCCGCTCGCCTTCGTATACTTGAATCGTAACGGTGTGTTGGTTATCCGACGCAGTTGAGAAAATTTGAGATTTTTTCGTAGGAATGACAGTATTTCTGAAATTATGGAAAAATAATCAATTGATATATACATTGATATTTATTATCGGAATAAAAAAGATATCAATTGCGATAACTATTATAATTAGTTACCTTGGAATGAGCTTAGTCATGACACCTCCTACAGTCTCTATACCCATGGTAAGCGGATTAACATCCAAAAGTACGATTGCATCCGTGTCTTGTTCGCCCGAAAGAACACCGGCTTGGACCGCAGCACCGTACGCGACAGCCTCATCAGGATTAATACCCCTTGAAGGTTCTTTACCACCAAAGAATTCTTTAACCAACTGTTGAACTTTGGGTATTCTAGTTGACCCACCAACAAGGACAATTTCATGTACATCTTTTTTACTCATATCGGAATCTTCCAATACTTTTTGTACAGGTTTAAGAGTACTACGGAAGAGATCCATATTAAGCTCTTCAAATTTAGCACGCGTCAAAGTTTCAGAGAAATCTTCCCCTTCGAAGAACGATTCAATTTCTATTCTCACCTAAGGACGATATAAATATAATAAATACAAAGACGCATATAACATGGGTGGGAAGAAAATGAACGTAATATAAATATAATTGCGTATACGTACTTGATGACTAGCGCTGAGTACTCTCTTAGCTTTTTCAACTTCACGGCGAAGTTTCTGTACGGCTCTGTTATCCTTTCGAATGTCTTTACCCTTTTTCTTCTTATACAGCTTGATAAAGTGATCCATAACACGCTGATCAAAGTCTTCTCCACCCAAGTGAGTATCACCATTGGTAGCAACGACTTCAAAGACGCCATTGTCAATAGTGAGTAAACTAACGTCAAAGGTACCACCTCCCAAGTCAAAGACTAAGACATTCTTCTCTCCATCTTTCTTATCTAAGCCATAAGCAATAGCAGCGGCAGTTGGTTCATTAATAATTCTCATTACATTAAGTCCAGAGATGGTACCCGCATCCTTTGTGGCCTGTTACACAAAAAGGTAAAATTTATAGAAACATATGTTTATACGGAATACTCTTCTACTCTTAATGTTAATCATTTTCTCTTCCTTACTTGTCTTTGCGCGTCATTGAAATATGCAGGAACTGTTACTACAGCATGGGTTACTTTTTTCCCTAAATACGCTTCTGCGGTTTCTTTCATTTTACCCAATACCATAGCAGAGATTTCCTCGGGTGCAAATATCTTTTTACCCTGACTAGTTTGAACTTCTATATGCGGTTTGTTATTCTTTTCCATAACTTTAAACGGGAAGAATTTAACGTCATGCTGCACCGTGGTATCCATCCATTCACGTCCAATTAGACGTTTAGCGTCAAAAATTGTATTCTCAGGATTTGTAGTTAATTGATTTTTGGCAGCATCGCCGATCAATCGTTCCCCATCGCTAGTAAAAGCTACATAAGATGGTGTAATTCTATTTCCCTGATCATTGGCAATAATTTCCACGCGCCCATTTTTATATACACCAACGCTATAAAAATTCTTTATTGTAACAATAACGTTTCGTTTATTTTATACAATTTCTTATAAATTATACTTACCAAGAGTATGTAGTACCCAAATCAATCCCTATCACCGTCCCAATATCTTCTTTTTTATCCTTTTTATCCTCTTTGGCAAATGCAAAGGCTGTAAGTAGCCTTAGCAATAGTAGAGCTTTTGCTCCTTTCATTATTAATCTATTTTCCTTAGATTTCCTTAGATATCCTGAAAATTTATTCAAAATGACCATTCATTACATTCTCATATCTTATTATTTTTTCATTCTAAAAAGGGTACAAGTTAAGTATGAGACAACTAGATTCTATATCATTCTACAAGTTAATCAATAATTCAACGTGTTATACATCATTAATGAATAAAAAATAAATGTACAAATTTATGTCATTCATTCGTTCATTTGTTAATACAAAAGATAGAATATATTTGAATACATTCATTAGTTAAAAATGACAATGCCAATGACATTGACAGAGCAGTCATCGAGTGTGTGGGATGATTTAAATAAGGTGGAGTTTTCTCATTTTTCTTCAAATTATACAAATTCTTCTATATACCTTCTATTTACTTAATACTAATATATTTACAAAAGTAAAGAGAGAAAAGTAGATAATAATGAATATCGAAGCTAGTACATGTATATACTCCAGATAGAATTTAACGCGATACGTGGCACGAGAAATGGAAAATTTCGCACTAAAATCATATGGATTGGCATATAATTTCAAAAATAGACAAATTAAATGACAATTTTATTTTAACTAGGATATTAAATGAAGCGATTATTATTAAAAAATGATTATATACCAATTGAATAAATAAGTATTACTCTTCCTTGACGAAAGTAGAATTCAACTAGTTCCTCGTACAGTATAACTTCACTCAAACAATTCGGAATCGACTGACTGCAGTCGGAATTCGGTGCGTTGATATTAACGGTAAGATTTCGTCGTGGCTCGCACTGATTGGTTAAAATTGCTATGAGATAAGGGAATAAAGTGAATCCATTGGTTCTCCTGTATACAGTTGGCTGACGTTTATAGGCCCACGTCATAACAGGATTTCCATTCCAGAAAATTCGGACGAATCGTCAGCATTTGTTATTGGTATTCTGATGGTAAATCTTTATACAACTGCACCTATAGTAGTTTCCATGTAATGATGTAACATTACAATATGTTATTATCATCTATATTTATCTATAAATATATATATGTATATATATAACCTGGAATTCTTTTAGGAGGACACTTGGAAAAAAAAGAAGAAAATAAATGTCAAGATACCAAAATATCAATTCAAATAGCATAGCAATTAACTATTGATTAACTGCTGATTAATCGTTTTCGAATATTATAGGTATCATTAATTTATTGAATTATAGGTTAGATAAAGTGTAATGATACGTGTACATATATTATTGCATATAATAATTTATTGTATAACTTAATATAATGTTAAGTAATATGCTTATCATTTGAATTAATCATTGAAATTTATTTTCCAAAATTGTTCTCTCGTTAAACATATATAAATATATGTACATTCATTTATACATTACTACTATAGTATTTGATCTTGCCCCCAGATATTACGTGATAAGTAATTCGAGTAACTTATACGTAAAATCACATAATTATACAAGAGCTGTAAAATAATTAATATTTACACTTAGGCATTAACATATCTAAAATTAAGGGCGTAAAGTATGTTATGATACAATCTGCTCCTGCTCGTCGCATCGACAATAGGACTTCGTTTAGTACATCTTCCAAGTTAATTGCACCGTTTTGTGCACCATGATATAGCATCGCATATTCTCCAGAGACTTGATAAACGAACATAGGATATTCTGGATGCGCATCTTTTGTATGTCTGATTACATCTAAGTAAGGTAATCCTGGTTTGACCATAATCATGTCTGCACCTTCTGCTATATCTCTAGCCTTTTAAAAAAAAAGAAAAGTTATTAATATTAAATATAAATACTATATAAAGATAATATAATACTAAACTTACAGCAGCTCTAGCTGCTAATCCATTACTACCCGGTGGTAATTGGTAACATTTACGATTACCAAATTTTGGGGCTGATTGGGATGCATCTCTGAAAGGTCCATAAAATCCTGATGCAAATTTAACTGCATACGATAATACGGCAACTTTATTTGCCAATCCAGCCGCAACTAATTGTTGTTTTATTGCACCTACTCTACCATCCATCATATCGGATGGAGCAACTATGTGTGCACCTGTTGTATTATATTCAAATAAAACGGAAAAGGAGATATAGATAAATGTTTACTTATTTTAACGATATATGTTTAAAGAAATAAATCAAACCAGCTTTTGCATATGTGACTGCAATTTCAGAAATACGTTTAATGCTTGCACTGTTATCGATAGTTCCATCGTCATTTAAAATACCGCAATGACCATGAACAGTATAAGGGCACAAGCACACATCGCATGCTACTACTAAATTTGGAAACCATTGCCTTATTAATGGCACCGCCTGAACTATAGGATTTTCTCTGCTGTCAGCATTGGAGCCAATGCGATCCTACAAAAATAAATCTGTATCTGTGCGATAGTTAAAGACAAACGACTAGAAAATGGGAATATTTACTTTCGCTAGATGTTTAGAGACTCCAAATAATAATATTGATTGTAATCCTTTAGAAATTAATGGCTGTAAATCCTCGTGTAATCGATTAATACCATAACGATGTACACCAGGCATACTTTTGATCGGCTCCTTGTCATTTTTATTATCGCTAAAAGAAGTATCAATCAATGATTACAAATACTTATCCATAATAACCTTTTTATAGATCAATCATTAATATAAGTAACGCTATATTATGTAACACAAGTTATAATAATTATTCAATAATTTAATATAATTGATTACATTAAAAACGATAAATAACATATAAAAATATTTTATACTACTTTTTTTTAAAGAAATAGCTAGACATTACATACCAAAACAGACATTTTCACGATTATTCGAATGGGCAGGTTATGTAGCAATACTTACGATACAAAAATTGGATACATAAGATTATTTACAGTCATTTCTACGTTTGGAGATTGCCATAGTCTTAAAACGGGATGAAAAATACCACTATGAAGCATGTGTTTAGGATTAACTTCTGACATATTTTATGTTTATGTATTATAATTTCTCGTCGCTCCAAATATAAATATCATTCGAACACTGCAAACCACCTGCAAGGTTTATTTTTTTTATGAACTAATTTCATCAACCTAATGCCCTTAAAGTTATAATTTCCTATCATAAAACATTTCAATATTGTATAAATATCCTTTTTCTTCTCTAGCGTGATATAATGTATGAATCAATTTATGTACAGGAAAGAAATGAATCGGTTACTATTAGGTCGGAAAATTTCGCTATTTAACAAGGAACCCGTGAAGGCAATAGAATTCTTCGAATAAACCGCGCAAATAGTGTTTGCGAGATGAATTACCTAGATGACGACGCTTCTTCAATTGTATACATGGCGAGAGACGAAACAAAATTTGTCCACAATTATTTTTATTTCTCTATTTCTTATTTCCGTTACTGTAAAGTATGTTTTTAATTAGGAAATACCTTCATTTATACAATAAAAATACATCGCACTGCCAATTTTCGATTTTTCCTCAATAAGTAATGTTTGCTCTTTATATTGAATAACGAACGAAGATTAACTACTTACTTCGCACTTCTTTATTTAAAAAAAAAAAACATACTTTATAATTATAAGAATAAGAAAAACAAAAATAAAATTTAAATAAATTCAAACTTGTCCGAGTAAAACTCGATGCAGTGACTTATGCTGGTCATAAATTTAAAGCGTTGTAGGTTGCGCAGTTATCGTCTCCAAACAAAATTCTAAAGAATAATAAAAATTCATAAAAGTTAATAAACAATATCCAATGGCTAGAAATATATAATTAACAATATACCTATCAATAGATATGCTATACCTATGAAAGCATTTAAATGCCACCCTCGATTTAAAGTTTTTACGTTTTTTCCAATTCCCAATAGAAATCCAGATATTCCGGTGGTTAAGATCGTTTTCTCGCGTCGCAAAAATGAAAGACATGTAAGCGGAGTGCATGACGATACAGGAGGTATCACGAAAGAGAAGTATTTGTCGTCATCACCTAGAACTCTCATTGGTTGGAAATGACGTAAGTAATATCCAATGAAAGTACAGAAAATAAGTAAATACTGTCGGTAAAACAGTATGATATCGACGGTCGGTAAATACTTATGGTAATTTACCATCGGATCTCTTACTGTCTTACCGACAGTATTTACTTATTTTCTGTACTTTCATTGGATATTACTTACGTCATTTCCAACCAATGAGAGTTCTAGGTGGTGACGACAAATACTTCTTTCGTGATACCTCCTGTATCGTCATGCACTCCGCTTACATGTCTTTCATTTTTGCGACGCGAGAAACGATCTCTTATTCACGCGAAAATCTGGATTTCTATTGGAAGTTCGAAAAAACGTTAAAACTTCGAATCCGAGGGTGGTTATTAAATGCCTTTCATAATCTAAGTGAATGTATTGATGGGTACATTCATTAATATTTTCAAGCTATATTAGATATTTCTTATTAACTTTTATGGTCTTATATTATTTCCAAGAGTTTATAGAAAAAGGTCGAGAATCTAAATGATAATAATTCGTTATTAAAAATTAAAAAAATAATATCTTTCATCGGTGACTTATATAGGACACATTAAACTATGACGAATATTTAGATAATAATTTTTTCTCTATAACATATTTAAAAGAATTATTTTCATGTCACACTATTCCTAGGAGTCTATGGAATACACCAAACATCTAAGTGTTTTTAATTTATTACTGATAGTTAAAAATCAACGTTGTACTTTACTTCAGATATATATAAATAAAATACGCTAATGCAAATATTTTTTGAAATTAATTAATAATTATTATTAATATTTAATGTGTATAGATATATATATCTATATATATATACATAATCGTGATACGAGATCATTTTATAAAATTACAACAGATTTGTTACAATATTAAGTTAAGAAATTTGACTGGAATTTATATAAAAGATACATAATAAAAAATTTTATTTTCTATCTTTATTTACAAATCACGCGAGGGGAATCGAGTATACAAGAATATTATTTTAAAAGAAATTTTTTTTACAATCTGTTAAACTAAACGACGAACCAACTGTGAATTATTTAATGTTGTTCAATGTATAATAACGCAATTTGTTTTTCCACGATAATGCAGTTTCCTTTTTTTCTTCCCTCTGATCTTGAGTCATTAGAATATTAATTTGTTTTTTCTTTTCTACGAAATTACATAGTAAACCTATAAAGAAAAATGAATCACTTGTTTGTTCAACTATTCCATGCAAAATTAAAAAACCTATAGAGTATTCTCTTTAGTGTATTTTTTAAAATATGTTAGAGATGTGTTCTGTTTCTTTTCTATCATCGTATCCACGAAAAGCTATCGTACACTCCAGTCAATCATAAAAAATACGTGAAAAACTTTAATGCTCAATTGGATTTGATTTTCTGTTAATTTTATTCTCTTACTTTTTAGTATTGTGCAAGTAAGACATTTTTTCAATCATTTATATCAATGACATTGTTGCTCTGACAATCTCTTAGATAAAAAAAATTAGTTTTCTTTACATTATTAACTGTCAGTCAATGCATAATAATGTTTTCAATTACCCAGTACTATGTTTGACAATACATTTTGTACACGTGAAGAATTGAATTGCCCATTAAAATGTATTTCCAAGTGATGTTAAAATTTGTAACAATTAAGAGGCATTCCTTTTTCATATTTTTTGATAGGATATTTATATCTCTGATTCTTTCCCAATGTAAATAAAATTTTGCACAGTCTTCCAAAATCTTTCATGATGATGGTATTGTTGGATCGTACTTATCTTTGTTGAAGGTAATGAGCTCTCCCTTCCAGGGTAATGATTTAACGCCTAAGCTAAAAGCATTAATTTATTAATGCTATTAGAACAATTATAATAATTACATACATTTTATATAGTTACATAATTTATATATATGTATGTTTATATATATAAAATATTTCTTTTACCATATATTAAAACATTTTTGTGTAAAATCGAGGTGTTATATTGCATTTATGCTAAGATACAAGTCCAACACTTCTTTTACGATATAATTTAGTGAAATTATATCAACGCATCTATAAGATTGTCAATTGAGAACATTACCGATTTTATATTTCTGGGTATAAAAATAAGTTACAGTATCAATAATTTTTAGGATATATGCACAGTTATAGTTACATCTTCAAAATATTACATATACCACAGCCAAATGAGTTGTACAAAATAAGATGTATATAGTATAGTATAGTATAGTATAGTATAGTACAGTATAGTTAGTTTGTTGTTCCCTTTATAAATAGTGCTCAATTCTCAAGATATAAAAAAAAAATATCTATCAATTATAAATAATAATAAAATTTGTTATGTTACACAAGAGAAAAAAACTCGATCAAATTTTCCAATCATCGTTACCTACGCTTGTGCAATATTTCCATAAAAAATATATAATGCAACTGACGCTACGATATTTAATTTAATTGTCTAATGTATGAGGATAAATACCACATCGCCTTATTTTATGAATCTCTGGACAAGTATAATAGATTATTAATAATGCAAAAAAATATGAAGAAGTTAGAAAGTTGATAGTAAAAATATTTCAAGTTATATATTTGTGACTTATGTGTAAACGTTTGACTTTTACGCGTTTAAAATTGAAACTAGAAAAATTTATCAATTAGTAGAAAATTTCTTGTGAAATCCTAATGATTCAGAATTACTTTTACACATTTCAATTGAAAATCTCTCCATCATATTTTGTGGCACAGCTTATTATTATCAATCAAAGATTAAAGAATAGAAACAACCTTTTTTAAAATTTGTCATTATCTAGTACTGATTTGGTAGTAACTTGAAGGGGTACTGAAAACAGTTCTTCCCATGGCGATTGTATTGAATTAATGACAGCCTCTACAGCACCTACAGAAATAAATTCCAAACTCCATGTTTCTTCCAAGCCTGCAATCTCGTTTAGGAAATTTAAAACCAACATCGTATCGCAGCGTTCCTAAAATTATTTTCATTTTATTCTACGTGGAAAATGTTAAATGCACATATCGAAAACTCGTTGTAATAATAAATTTGATTTGGAGAGAGAGAGAGAGAGAGAGAGAGAGAGAGAAAGACAAGGTTTACTTACGATTCCCATTAAATTACTCATAGTTTGTTCTTTTAATATTACTGGCACTACTTTAGTATTTGGTAAAAGCCATTGCATATTATCCTCTAATATTACTAAGGTAGATGCTGTTATTAAGAGTCCAGAGTACTTGGTCATCATAGTATTATTATGACATTTCAGTACCGCAGAAGAAAAGAGCGCTAGAATTCTAACAGTATCATCACTATTTTCATCTTTTTTAATATCTGATAATAAATTGTGCATTAAAGTACTGCAATGTTCTGGTACAGAAAATTCGACTTCGCAACTAGCAGGTAGCGGAGGGTCTGTTGATAAATATATTTCATTAATAAACGTAATATACGTTAGCATATATATAAACGTAACATATTAATATTTCTCTATTACCCGTTATATAAAATAAAAAATTCGATGTTCTCTGAAAATCTTGTAATATGCATAATAAACCAATGCTGACGTATTCTTCGTTCATTGTTATTGACTGTTGTAACTCTACTAGAACACCTTGTTTAAAAGGCAATGCAGCAATAGATCTCAATTTATCTATTGTCCAGCTACATTCTTTGCGCAACCAACGCTGCGGGTCCTCCCTGTTTTATAAAATATCAAATATATTTGAGAGAAAACATTTTTAAAAGTGTTAATACATAAAACCTAGATAGTAGAATCTCCCTACCCTTCTGGTCCATCAATTTTAAGGATATAAACCTTCGATGTAGAAAAAACTAAACATCCTGGAAATACTTCCTTTAGATTGTGCATCAATATATCGGCCTAAAAATATGAATATTAACGTTAAAGTTGAAATAAACAATAAATAATACAACTACTAATTATAAGTAAAATTAAGGTACCCTAAGAAGAAGAGCAAGTTCTTCGCTTTCGTGTTCAAAGACGTTTAGAAT